CAACTGGGATACTCCTCACAGTCGCATGGAGTAAGGGAAGCCAACAGGAGCATTTGCTCCCGTTGGCCTCCCACAATGGGGACGGCTCCAAGTTTGGCTTAAGGTAAGCCTACTTAGCTACGTATTCTATGTATCTGGAGTTGCGTACCTTAAGCCAACCTTCCAGGTCTAGTGTAGACCTGGCCTAGGTTGAATAGTTACATGACATAGAAAGTAAGGCAAAGGAAGAATTTACAGGTGCAACAGGCTTATTCTCTAGTTCGTCTCTCTATAACTTAAGGTTTTATCTATAGTACAAATTCTAGTGTTCAGACCAAGGTGAGAAGAGTTTTCCATCACACTTTGGGAAGGGAGCATGTCTGATTTGTGACAACTATCATGAAGTTTTTATGCCATAATATTGGGCTGAGTCTTCCTGCCATTTAAATCACTGTCAACTCCCACAGATTTCAATGGGAGCAGAATTGAGCCTATTCATTCAATATCATCCCACCAGTCTAGTTATCACCCAGTACATCACTGGGGCTGTGTCCAGACTCAGGGGTTTTTTCGGGAAAAGTAGCCTTTTCCCGAAAAAACTTCCCCTGCGTCCAGACTCAAGCCGCGTTCTTTCGAAATAATTTCGAAAGAACGCGGCTTTTCTTTCGATGGCAGTAAACCTCGTTTCACGAGGAAGAACGCCTTCTTTCGAAAGTTCCTCTTTCGAAAGAAGGCGTTCTTCAATGTAAATAGGGCTTCCTCGAAAGAGAGCATCCAGACTCACTGGGTGCTCTCTTTCGATAAAGCGGATTGCTCTTTCGAAAGAAGCCTGCAGTCTAGACATAGCCTGGGAGTAACTCCTCTCACTTTTTGGTGTTTGCACACTTCATAGACAATCATCCTGACTCTCCTAAGGTGATCATTTAGTTAGTATAAAACACTACATTTCTGCTAAATTCACCATTGCTCATTAACAATATTAAATCTACCTCTAACAACATATGAATGACATTGCACACCTAAGCCACAAGCTCAAAATGTAGGGCTGTTATGAGGAAGCAATGGCTACATGTGTAAGACTGTGACTGTGATGTGAACAGAACAAGAGCGTGTACTGAAGTGATGAAAAACAGAAGCATTCACTGGAAAATAACTGTATTGAGTAAATTTTAAAGCAATGCTTCAAATCTACATTTTGTCAAAAAAATTAAATGGTCTTTGTTTACTGTGAGATAATGAATTTCTTAAGAGAGAAAGTTTTTTGATTAATAATGCATGATCAGACTATACTGCTAGAGTAGGCAGAAATAATACAGAAGCATGTCTTGTCAAATGTGTGTGACTAATTCAGCTCCACAAGTATTGATTTGACAGATTACCTTCCCTTGCTTTACCTGTGCATAGTCATTTATATGTAATGGACATTTTTATTAGGCAAATTATATTCCTTTTGTTTAAACCTCCAATCTGAAAGCACATCACTGTATTTATAACCAATTAACAATTCTTTGGATCTCTACATTTGCATTATGTTATAAGTTTGCTCCACCTCTTCTCCAGCCTATTAACATCAATTAGCCTAGTAAAGATATGTGAGTCTGACATGCAAACTTTGACAAAATGCTTGGGCTGATCTTCCAAACAAAGATGTAATGCCACAGCATTTGTTTTTGATAAATGATTGAATTTAATAAACATTTGTTTGCATATTTTTATCATGATAATGAATATAATTACTTTTATTTATGTCATAGAACTACTATTACATTTTGATATATACATCACTTAAATATGTATCATTAGTATTTTGTACACACTGGCACATTGAAGAAGTGGTTGGACTTAGGGACAGTCTATTATCCTCCAGTCTGCAGCTAATCAAGCAATATTCCACTCAGTAACATAATGGTATGTAGTGGTTACTACATATGCTCCCATACGCATTAGACGGCAGCAAATGGTTTGGTTAGTATTCTGCATACAGAACATATCTGTCAATCAATGGGCTGGCCAGATTTTTTTTTATATCACTACTATTATTTTTAAACTTAAAAAGGGCCAGATCCCAAAATCTTTACTCACATTAATAGCACTTCAAACCCCAAAAAATCCAACTGTCTTCTTCACTGGAAATAGGATTGAACCTGTTCAATAATTGTTTAATTTCATTCCACTACTCCCAGCTATCACTATGAACAATTCCTCTTCCTCCTTCAGTGTGAACAAAAGGTAATATTTATTAGACAAAAGGGTTTCCAAGTCTGTCCCATTCTTTGTAAAGTGCCTTGCATGGTGAACATAAATGTTAATAATGACTATGTAGCTGCTCCGCATGAGAAATTTTCAACAAAGTCAATGGGAGTTCAACTTGTGAAATGGCTTGTAACAGAGCCCTGGATGGTTCCTCTGTTAGAGGGCATGGGAACCTGACTGCACCTAATTGCGCAGGTGATCACAACAGCTCTTTGGGGGTCTCTCTGGCTGCGGGACTAAAATACTCCCTCCCTGCAGTCCCAGCAAACCCAAAGAAAAGGCAGGGTTGCTACCAGTGATCCAACCCCAACATAATGATTTGGGGAAATTGCATGGTTGGGTCTCTGAGGCAGGCTCAGTCCATGCCTGACCTATCCTGGAAGTCCACTATATCTCCTCAGGTTAAAGATGATGGTTGTCTGCTTAGAAGTTTCTTCCATGGATCCTACATACGGCTGCTATGGGCAGGCCTGCTCCTTCCTCAGCTGCTGTCTGCAGTTTCCTTCCTTTTATGCATGATTAACAGGGCCAGAAGGGTGTAGGTAGCTTTGCTTTTCATGTGGCTCCTACATACCCTGTCACATGGCTAAAGAATAGGATCTTTAGGTAACTAACCCATACAGATTCTCTTACTATGAAGTAATCATTTATGTAAACAATTTTTTTTAATTATTTTTAAATAGAAAATAAGATGGCTTTGGAAATTCTTAAAAGTTTTTAATATTTCCTGTACTGATGTCCCATTTGTTAGTCTAAGTAATTGCGAAGAAGAAAACCTCACCAATTTCAGCCTTTTGTGCTGTTATGGTTCCAAATTTAAATACCAGACAGAAAAGATAGCAGCATTACTTATGGTAACATCTCATCAGCCATTAAAAACAATTGCATTAGGGATGTTAAATATTGGTTAATTGAATAGTCAAGTAACCTCATGTTAGTCAACTATTCTATAGTCCCCGGGGGTGGGGCCAGCAACCACTGAATCAGAGGCAGCAGCGTGGGGTGCCAGCTGGTTCATGAGGGGAGTCAGTTTAAAAACCAGCTCCCCTCATGGACCAGCTGTCTATTGTCCTATGCTGTTGCCTCTGATAAAGAGGCAGCAGCGCAGGGTGGCAGCAGTCCCTGTTTGGGGGGTTTTGAGCTCCTGGACCCAGCACAAACCAAAACTGAGCTAGGCTGCCAGCCCGCCTGGCTCCTAATACACTTTAAATAAAGAGACACAAGCCAGGACTACGCCAGGCTGCTGGCCAGCCTGCTAAAAAATTTACTGGAGTGCGGGGGGAGGAGGAGCAGAAATACATGTAGTCTATAGCATTAACCTATAATCTCTTGCTTATCGGTTAATTGGCTATACTACTACATCCCTAAATTGCATCAATATTATTTCATTTCATGATACAACTAGACTGAAGAATATTCCCCTTTGTACAGCTGCAATTATTTTAAATCAATAAAAGATAAGCTATTTTAAATATTCAGTGGGCAGTTTTAACAATGTGCCCATCACATATGTGAAATTCTTTCCAGATACCTTTGTTTTAAAACAGTGATGTCATTCTTCAAGTTGGAATTTATCATGTGATCAATTGTCTGTCAATGAAATTCAAAGATGGGAAAGTTACTATGTCTTAGACATCTAATTATAACAACTAATACTCCTTTTCTAGTTCTGTGAAACAGATTTTTTGGCATGCAGACAGACTTAGGTCCTACATTCGCTGACATCAAACCTCTCACTGTAGTCAATAGGGTTTTAGTGCGAAAGGAATGCAGAATTATATATGGCACAATCGGCCATTCTTTATGGGTATTAGTAAAGAAGGATACCAAGCCTTGTCTGACCAGAAAGTCAATTGATAACAAATATTGCTTTGAATTAGATTTTATTCCCACTCCAGAACCTGAGCTACAGTTTCTCTTTCAAATTTCACTTTTATTTACCAAGATTTTTATATGCAGTTTAATGTTACATCATTTAACTTCCTACCCTGCCAGACTTTCACATCTCCTGCAGTATAGCATGTGGCTATATAAAAGGGCTATCCCATCACTCTTTTAAAATAACCATAATGTGTCCAGAAAAATCTAGAATTAAAAGTAAAGAGTTAGACGAAGAACATGAGTATGCAGAGAAAGCAGAGTTTACCACTTTATTAAAATTGTGATTGTTCCCATAAAGACTCAACCAGGTCACATATTAATAATTATCACTGACAATCTTTAACATCAGACTAAACCCACAAGTGAAGCAATATTACATCTCTCTCTCTCATTTATCTTTACTGCTTATGGCCCCTCTGTGGTCAGCATGCTGTGAGCTTCGTGGACATTTAATTATGAACACATCATAAATGTGGCTGACAAGGCAGAAGCTGGGTTCAGATGCTCCTGGGATGAAGGAAACATTGTTGAAACTACTTAGGCTTGCAGTACTTTCATTCAAACAGTGCTCTGAGTTGCCATATACATCGCTGAATGGAGAGCTCCCTCTCCTTCTGGTTTCAATATTTTGTTTTTAATCTAATATTGTTAAACTATATTGGAACATAATGTTTGTTACCCTCTAAAAATAATTTAATTTCCATCACTATTCAAATAAATAATGATGTACTAAATTTGGATTTTGCTGCTAGAGTCACTCACTTTAGTGGCTGTAGAGGGGAGTGGAAATGTAACACCCAAGTGGTGATGCTCAGGGTTTCTGCCTGCACGAGATAAGATAATGGATGCCTCAAGGACTTGTTGGGCATAGGGGGAAATGTGCTTAGAAGCAGCACTTATACCTCTAGCTTAAAGGTCCACTATGCTCTATTGCCCTCACCTGTCACTTGCCTCTAAAAATCCACAAGCAACACAGACTGGACACCCCTCAGAGGGGTCACAGCCCTTTCTTTAGTAGCAGAACTATTATCTGGGCTGCTTCTTGCTTGGTTGTGTTGAGTAACAAAAGAGGTTCCCAGCAAATACACATTTAAAATAAGAAAATTCTGCTACAACAAATATCATCATGAAAATATTTTTTGACATTAGGACACTGTGTACGGCTCAAGATCAGGGAGTATTGTGTTTGATCTAAGTCAGGGCTGAGTAAAATATGTCCCAGGGGCTGGATCTGGCCCACAAACCACCTGAGAGGACCCTCAGGCACATGCAGCTGCCGTGGTATAAAACACAGGCCCTGTGGCTCTCTGCTCTGCAGGGAGGGGAAGGATTCATGTGAACTCCTGCCCCCAGTCCAATCCTCAGCTCCCATTGGCCAGAAAGAACTGGCCAATAAAAACTGACCTCAGCGAGTGGGGTAGTTCAAGCCTCTTCCCCCACCCAGAGTGAAGAACAGTGTGGAGGGAGCAGCCTGTATTTTCAAGCAGGCTGGGGAATTTGCAGGCAGGGAGCCCAGCTTGCCTTTGGGGTGCTCCAGCCTGCTGGCCAGGAGACATTTCGGTAAACTCCTCCCAGCCAGCACCTGCCTCTGGCACCCCAACCCCTCCCACACCGCAACTCCCTCCCCCAAATCACCATCCAAACCTTCTGCACCCCCTGCCCCAGGCAAGTGATTATTCCCTCCCCGACCTTGTACCTCCTCCCACACCCCTACCCTAGGCAAGAATCCTTTCCTGTACCCACACTCCCTCCCTGGCCCTACACTCCTATCCCCTGACCCAGGTCACAACCCCCTCCTTTACCCAAACATCCTCTGAGACCTCATGCAGTCTCCTGAACTCCAGTCCCTAACCACGTGCATCCTTCTGCACCAACCTCCATCCTAGACCCTGCACCTCCTCCACAGAAAAGTGTGATCCCTTTCCAAAGTTTTGGAGTGCCCCCCCCCCACCAAAAATCATTGCCCACCTCTGATCTAAGTAAACAGAGAAAATCATGAATAAATATATGAAAACCACTCAAGTGCTACCCTTGCATCAAACTGGTGCAAACTCAGAATCAGGTTCATGATCTTTCAAGATAGAACAGCACACATTTAAATTTCTGAGTTAGTTTCATATTCCAATAGAACTGCTTTGTTCTCTCTACCTCCTGCCCCCAATCAGCATGGGTGTTTTGCTCCAAGGAATCACACCTATTTCTCTTTTATAATGAAAGAAATTATTTCAGTTGGACTAAGATTCCTGAAAGTTAATGTTATTATAAACACTTTGAATCTGTATCACTACTAAACCTTACCTTCAAGAACAAAATTTTGAGAAAGGAGCCCATGGACTCTACACATATATAAAAAAAATTATATATAAAGATGCCCTATATAAGGTGATTTTTAGTAAAGAATATTCACACTGTTAAAAATTAGGAAACAATGTAAGCTACACTAACATTTCAACATTTAAGTAAGAATAAATGTGCATGCAAAGAATTAACCAGTGTCATATTTCAAAGCAACTATCCTCCATAGTGCTGAGGTACATATTTCTATACTTCCCCAACAGACTAGAAATAGAAAAGACAAAGCATATAATAAAGCCAAGCACAATGAAAGAGCACTGAAGAAAGAGCTGAAAAGTAACTATCATGTTGGCAGATAAATTCTACACACAATTATTCATTCCTAGCCTCTTGACATGTAGATTAATGAGTTTGATAACCCGGGCTTCTAAGAAGTAGATTCAACTCTGTTTCACTAGCTTTCCTCTTCTCTAACTACAAACACTATTCAGTCTATTGAGAAAAAAACAAATCGATACATTTGCACTAGTCATCAACATTTTTGCAATTGAAGTCCTATGTCAAAAATATGATATGTACTGTAGGACAGGTCTCTTTACTAGCCCTGTCAAGAATTCACAGGGGATCATGTGATCACTGGAAGGAGGAGCCTTGCTTCTGCTCCTTGTTTCAACAGCAAGCTCAAAGTCACATAGTAGCCAAGAGAAAAAAACATCAACCATTCTGCTCGTTATAATGACCCCTGTACTCACTGCAATGTGTTGTGTACATAAAATTTTCTATTTCTTCCCTGAGGCCAAATGACCTTTTGTCAACACTTTGGTTAATGCTCACTGATCAAAGTGTATTTTAAAGCAAGTGCTGTATCAGATTCCAGCCATGATGACTTTACAAGGGGTTGTGTCTGCTTCAAACAACTACACATAGAGATGCACTCTCTTAGCAAGAATGAAAAAAAGGCTAATGGCTTACAGATTTATTCTTTGTGAAGGCAAGCTTTGCACAGCGGAAATGTTTCATTCTTGATTGGTGAGCAGCTTTAAGTACTTATTTTATCCCAAATGTTATGAGTTCAAATTCTCCTGTGTAATAACAGTCGTATGCAGCTGCTTAGGATTTATCAGGGTTTCCCTCACTCCCCGATTAACTGTAGTGGAACATGTAGCATTTGCCTGGTAAGGAATGAAAAGAAGAAAAATACTGTCATTTTCCTCTGTAGAAATTATTAATGTCTCACTTAGAGAATGGGTTTTTTGGTGCAATGTCAGTGAAGTTCTACTCCAGTGTAATCATGTTATAATATACTTTTCATCCACACTGAATTCTGAAAACACTAGAAGACTATAGTGGGTGATCATAGTAATGGGCTGCTATAAGTAAACCTTAGTACAGGGGAAAGTTTCAGGTGCCTAAAGGCTACAGATTTTCCTTTAAAAACTGGCTGTGTAAAGGAAATACAAACACACATCATGTAGTTCACATGTAGTACAGTCCACCTGGTGGGCAGCAATGTTTTTCAGCCTGTAACAAGCTTTTCACTGCAAATAAATCTTACCAATTACTATTTTAATTTTTTTATGTTGCATGGCACTTTACTGAACTTAGAGAACATGTATTTTTGAACACATTCTGTAGTGATCATCCTAAAACACGTTTGACCTAGAGCTGAAAAGAACTTTGTGAGTACTGAGTATTAGTGAATCTTAGTTGTTATTGGATCTCAGGTGTCTTATATAAAAGATAACTCAAATAATATCAGTTTTTTATTCAAAGTTGTTTTCTTTAGGAAACCATGAAGTTATCTGCTTCAAACCTATTTTTTTAAATGTAAAATCACTCCGGTTTTTTTAAAGTTAATGAGAGGATAGTACTATTGCAAGATCTGATAGTCGACAATTGCAGTGGGTAGATGTCATGATTATAATATGGGTGACCCTATAACCCTGCTTAACTACACCTCTCAAAATGTATATCTTCTATAAGGAAGATTACTTAGAGACACAAATTACTGTTATGAATAATCCCCAATGAGGAAAGTTGTGTGTTTTTAATGGGATAAAAACCAGATGTAAGTAATGCATTCAGAATTTCAGGACATTGCAGTTTAACAGTCTGGGACTAAATTTTGAGTTCCTTAGAGAAGACAAATTTCCACTCAAGCAAGTAGGAGTTTGAGTAAAAATTGAATATACACCACAGGATTTGTCCCATGATTGTTAGTTTTACCATTAAAATTTCAAGAGGTTTGAGGGAGGATATGTAAAAGATAATTGCATATAGAATTTGATCATTTCTCTACAAATCTAACCCTCTTCCCCACCCCATACTAAAATGTATTGATGTACCTTATCTGATATATTTTCAGCTGATGTTGGTATGTTACATTTTATGTTGCTGTAGATTTACAACAATTTTCAAACATCTCTTATATACCACACAAAGACGAATGACATCATGAACTACTTAACAGCTCAGCTGCCTATGAGCATTAGATAAGTGTCTTACACTAGATAGATAATTGATTGGATAAGCACAAGCAACATTTTCACTATTATTGTTGCAGATGCAGCATTGAAAATGTGTGCAAAATCAACAGCAAACAGTTCCCTTAAGATGGTGAATTGATGGCTTCCTATACCAAATCTCTCTAATTTTGAAATCTGAGGATTTTTGGGGGAAGAGGAACAAATTACTCCTCCCATCCCCGGCCAAAAAAACCCCCACCCAAATACAGATCCCTCTTAAAGAGCTTGTTCCCATGCATTTTGTGGTAACATTCCACCCTTATGAGGTTTTGGACAAGACGAAGGAGGGATTGTGTCACCACTAGCCCTGCAATATTGGATGCTCACAATGCTTTGCTGCTGTAGTTCTGAGCCTGAGATGCTTACAGCCAGCCAACAAGCAGCAGGTCACACCCTGAATGTCTGCTCACTAGACAGATCTGACCCCAACAGCCTCACAGACCCACTCTGGCTTCTACAAACCTCGGTTACTACTTGTATGGTGATCCCAATATACTCTCAGTCCTGAATTTTCTCACATGTGTTCTGTGATGCTGAGCTGGTCCCAGACAAATCATGGAAATAATAAGGTTTACTTATTTCTATAAAGACACAAAAGCACATCATAGCTAATTAATAATAATTGGGAATAATGAACGCTTCCAATTAAACATAGCACTGAGTTGGCTTATAATAAAAATAAAACAAATTGATTAACAATAGAATATAGTTTAAGCGATGCCAAGTAAAAGGAATAAAATAATAAGAGGTTACAAGTAGGAATGCGAACAGGTAACCGATTAACCAGTTACCCAGTAAGCATCATTCTTACCAAGTGATGTTTACCAAGTACCTGTTAACTGGTGCCCAGGAACAGTCTCTCGCTCACAGCCCACTACTGTGGGGTGAGGAGCCAGCAGCAGCTCTAGTGCTAGGACAGGAGCTGGGAGCCTCTTGCCACCAGCAGCGGCAGGAGCCCCGGACCGGGAGCCCACTTAGTTGGTAAATGGTTAACTTATTCATCAGCATTTTATAACACTAGTTACAAGGAAATAGAAGTGGAAAACACATCTAAATGTCTAAAGCTTAATCTAGCAAGATGCAGACTTTGTTCAAGATGGTTTCTCACCATATTCCATTCCCAGAGACTTCAACGTCTCCCTCTCTCAGTCACAAGCTCTGTTCCCTGGAATTTCTCTAGTGATGGATGCCAAAGATAGCTTCTGTCCTTGTTTATATCTTCCAGTGTTCAATGACCTTGCTTCATGAGGCAGAATGACCTCATGGTCTTTTTCCCTTCCTTCCCATCCTTGTATGTAAATAGGACTTCCAAAGTTTGAATTCCACCAATTCTGAATTTTTATGGGTTACCAGTAAATATATATATACACACACCTTCTTTCCTGTCTGGTCATAGACTAGAATACATATTATTAATTATTCATGTAATTTCATCATAGGTAATTCAGCTGATTAAATTCATCTCAGGTTCAGCTCCCCTGTATTTATAGACCAGTAAATCTTTGAAATAGATGCGGAGGGTTACCTCTCAAAGTAAAGTTTATTCAAGCTATGTGGAAAGTGACATGAAGTATGATGTTGACGGAGGTTCCATGCTTCCTCCCTCCCCCCACTGGTGTTTGCTTAAATGTTAATTGTTCTGTTTCTTGCCATCTCATCCACACGTTGTCTTGGTGACCCTGTGTACTGCTTATATGTAAATATGGACCTTCATTTTCTTTGCCTATAGATCAGGTCAGTCAAAGAATCCAAAACATATTGGATATGTCTAGACTACATCCCTCTGTCGCCAGAAGGATGTAAATTAGACACACCGACATTGCAAATGAAGCGTGGATTTAAATCTCCCATGCTTCATTTGAATAAAAATGGCCACCGTGTTTTGCCTACTGAGCAGTTTGTTGGCAAAAAGCGGCTATCAAGACGGGGATCGGGCAACAAAGAAAGCCTTTGTCGGCTGATCCCTTAGCCTGTAAACCTCATTTTACGAGGCATATCTTGGTAGAAACTGGTGGATCTCATTTTGGGGTACACATACAATCACAGAATACTAAAACTGGAAGGAACCTAGAAAGCACATCAAGTCCAGTCCCCTGCACTCATGGCAGGACCAAGCACCATCTAGACCATCCCTGACAGGTGTTTATTTAACCTGCTCTTTAAAAATCTCCAATGATGGAAATTCTACAATCTCCCTAGGCAATTTATTCCAGTGCCTAGCCACCCTGACAGTTGGGAAGTTTTTCCCTAATGTCCAACCTAAACTTCCCTGCATCATCAGAGGGACATGTACCCCTCACTGCCTGTCTTCTGGTATAAAAAAAAGGAAGTTGGAGAGCATATACTCATATTTTCAAAAGCAATTATTTTAGTCTGTGCAAAGAGATGGTGTTTAAACCAGCTGAAAATATTCCCTTACATGCAGCTCAACTCATGAAAGAAGAAGATTTTAAAATGTACCGTTTGTGGAGCACAGGCACTCTTGCTGTTGTTACAGCTTACAGTTTCCACAAGAAGCACTGGAAGATGCTGCCAAAAAGCATCAACAGCTCTGCAGACTGCCTTCATTGTAGGTGATTCCTCCCAGGCCACAGCCACTCACTTTTCAGCAGTACTAGACATATGTGGGACCTCTGGCACAGCCAAGCAGACTATGATGCAAGGCAACTGCAGCCACTCCCTTGGCAGGCTCTCTAACCATAGGGTCTCAGCCACAAGTTATGCAATAGTTCCTTTCCATTAGTAAGTGTGTCTAGGCCAGTAGGTACAGAGCTGAAACCTTAAAGAGTCAGAACCCTCTTTGTCAAATGTCCATTTTAAGTATTTTGAATCAGAGAAACTATACTTAACTCTGACACCTGGTCATTTGAATCTCATTTGGAGAAGACTGACCACTGAGCTAAAAAGATTGGTCACCTTTTAAAAGGTCACCATTTTCTAGCAGATACTGCCATTTCCCCTATAATAAGAATAAGAAAACCTGTGTATGTCACATGGCTGTGTGCCATATCAGCTAGCCCATGATAATTTTTAATGGTAAACTTTGTAGATTTAAACTCCCTGGAACCACACATCAAAATCCCTGAAGGGTCAAATTCAGCCCATTGAACCTATCAGGTAGGTGAAGCAAGCTGCATGCAGTTTAAGGATGTGTCTAGACTACATTCCTTTTCAGTAAAGGGATGTAAATTAGGCATGTTAATATTGCAAATGAATCCAGTATTTGAATTTCCTGCACTTCATTTGCGTAATGGCAGACGTCGTTTTTATTCGAAACAGGGCTTTTTCAAAAAAAAACCCGGCAGTTTAGATAGGGATCTTTCAAAAATAAAACCCTTTTTTGAAAGATCCCGTAAACCTCATTTTTAAGGGAATACAGAATCTTTAGAAAAAAGTGTAGATGGGCCAAATTTTGGAAAACCCTCTTCCAAAAAAAAAAAAAATTGGAAAAAAGTGTAGTGCAGACCTAGCCACAATTTATGTAGCTGTTGAAACTTTAGGGTGAAAGAGACTATATGAAGATAACAATTGTTAACTACTGTTTTCTCCTGAATTAGAAAAATATCTGATACTGAAATGAGGAGTTACTATGATCAACTAACGGAAAGCAACCAAAATAACCTTGGCTCATAGTGAGATGGCTCAATTATCGATCTCTTGGGAAACCAAAAGAATATACCAGCAGTATTAAAAAGCAATGGCTTTATGCCTTATGTCCATATATTGCATCAGGATCACAGAATTTCTGGATTGCACAAGAACATACATGGAATAGACATGACATTAATATAAATTAATCTACAACTCTAAAAGCCATATGTTTTAACTACAAGATACCTGTATACACTTGAACCTTCCCATCCTCTGCCATTACAATCTATCCAGTTTCAGTACAATGTTTTAATTATACATTTGATAAACTGAAGCAATAGTAGAGAAATAATATTTTTTACTCCAAGAATCAACTCTGATGATTCAAAAGTGAGAACAATTTTTTCCCCTAGGCGCCTCTTCCCCTTCCTTCCCCCATAGATTCGCAGGATTAATATGAGTCTGGCTTTAGGGTTTTACCAGTAACTGCTGCAAAACAAGTTCTGATTGGCTGATTCAGAAATTGGGATTCTGGGCAGTGTTTTATAAAAGGATAATGTATCTTTAAGCCTAGGTGCCCTTCAGGGAAATGTATTGGATAAATGTCTTCTGAAAAGCCTGTAAATATTCCATCGCCTCACTGTCATTACTACCATGAAATGATAATGAAGCATGAAAGAAATATAATTCCATATTCAGATGACAGCATTAGCCTTCATAAGCAAACTGAAATATTTATTAGTAAAATGTTCGGTATCTACGCCTGTAATCTAAAAAAAGGACAAAAATGTTTTATAATAAAAAAGAGATTGAATGCAGAGGTAAAATCTGGTTGGCTGATTTTATTGCTTATTATTAAATCCTGGCAAAACAATTATTTTTTTCTTTTCATTAGTAAGGCACCCAAATTAAAACTATGCCCTCAGGCAGTGAGGTTTACAGTAGTGATTAAAAACAAGAAATTGTGATGCATGGGGTTTTTGACAATGGCATAATCAAATTCATTCATATTGTTCAATCTTTCACTGACAAATATTTTTACAGTGAAATATACCAAACAAAGAAGCACATACAACTACTATCAATACATAGAAATTAGGGAGACTTGTTATTATTTAAATAGGGAACTGATACAATTTTTCTATAATCTTGAATGCAAACATTAGAGTGTAGTTAATTAGGGTAATTATTGTCTAAATTGTGCTTAATTGTTTTATACTGAATAGGAGTCATGAATGAACCCTCTTGGATTTCTACAAGGCACAGAAGTGAATACTGTGTAGTTTAAGCATTTAGATATAATTTAATAAATTTTGATTGTATTTCCTATAAGTCAGAAGATATATCCTGAAGCATGCGGAGACAGAGATAAACACAAGCCATGTGCCTTGACCTCTGTTTCACCTTATTGAAAAAGAGGCGTAAAACAGTCATTTAGTACATTAGCATCAGAGAGCATTCACATACTCTAAGCACATTCTAAAAAAAGGTCTTTGAAGTGAATGAAAAATTAGAAATTCAAGTGACCACGATCAATTCTGAAACACTGCACAAAATTAATTACAGTTTTGCATCAGAAGCAAGAATGTAGATTTCAGACAGTCTGTGTCATTTATCTCTAGCAGTACAATATACAAGGCGATTAAAAAGCCAAATCTGTTCCCACCCCCCCAACTCTAAGGCCTATCAGAGGCTGTGAAGTACAAATGATTAACTCCTAATTATTCAAAGGATTGTACAGACACTTCAACTTGAATGAAATTTGAAGCAAGTCACAGGAGCTACAGAGGGACACATTTGCTGCTCTTTATCAAAATCTAGTCTGAATATCACTGACAGAATCCAGATAAATTGCACAGTAATCTGGCAATGGTTGTGGAAAGCTTGCTCTGCAAAATCCAAATCTCTAATTTCTATCTGTTTTTAATTGCTGCCTTAAATTTGCATTTTTATACAATTGGCTTAGAGAATTTATTCAGTTCTTTAGGCTATTCCAATAAAGCTGAGTCCCATTTCAAACGGTATCTCAGGAACCCGCTTACATTAAATAAGCACGCTGTGTTACAAAAATATTTACTGCCATAAAAAAGAATTTGTTATGAGGCATTCAGAATCCAGAGGCCAGAGAGTCTTTTCTGAATGCCCCCAGAAAAAACATATATAACCCTAAAAATTAAGTGCATGGCACAGAGGTTGCGACTTAAAAAAATTCAACACAAGATAATCAGTGAAGGGGAAATGTGTGTTCTCTGTAGTACAGAGTAGGCATAGTCAATTGTCCAAACAGAAGTCAAACCACTGATCCAACTTTTTGCAGAGCAAAAGATCAGAGAAAGAAGCCATTGGGCCAAATGAAACCATCCAGCCCACCCAAAGCAGGATACTGGGCTGGACCCCACACTAAATCCTCTAGTCCTTAAGATATTATCTACCCTCTGACATGATTCCACAGGCCCTATTAAGAGTTTATGACATCCCTAAATTCCCCTTGCCCAAAAACCTAGAGAATGCCATCACTTCATTAGCAATTCCTCAGCAAACTATTCACAGCACCAATTCATGCCAGAATTGGGTGCCACAGTAAGAGAGTGACAATTTCTGATTGCACTCTGCAAAAGACAGAACATCTGTGGACAATCACACAAAACCCCTGAATGTTCCAAAATGTCTCACACATAACTAAGGTCAAGATTTTGTCATGGGTATTTTCAGTAAAAGTCTCAGATAGATTGTGCACAACAAACAAAAAATTTACAGAAGCTTGTGAGCTTTGTCTGACTTTTACTAAAAATATCCAGAGGAATCTATCAGTCAATGCCCTGCTGCTGAGGTATTACCACCATAAAATTTAGCATAGCCCATCATCAACAAACCAGGTAGTTTATAAACTGAAATTATCCTCCTTTTCTAGTAACCCCGTCATCTTTACAAAAGCTTCCCCTACATTTTTAAATAAGTTCAGTCACATGTGATTTTACTCACCAGGGCCTAGTGTAGACACATCCAAAGCTTCAAGATCATTATTGCCCAAATGTACAAGGACCACATCAAGTTCCAGTAGGCCCCCTTCATATGGAAAGCCACAAAATGGTCCCACCTCATCTCCCTGACACTTGAGGTAACCTTTGCCAATGCAAAAACCCCATGGTGCTTCTATATGAGGGCTGGCAGCTCTATTCTTTGCCCAGAAAATAATGTTCATCCACGGTCCACGCCTGCATGGGGAGAATGAAATCATAACACAAAAACATGAAGAGAAAGAAACTAGATGCTAGACTACTCATGTTCAGTTTTGCTAATGCCCAATGCATCTCCCAAAACAGCCTGAATACCAATGGCTCTGACTTCTTCCTGACAACCTGCGCCATCACAGCCACATCTCTTAAAAACATAAAAAGCAATATGTCCCAAAAAGCTTTGGAGGAAAAGGAAATAAATATAAAATTACACACACACACACACACACACACACACACAGACACACCCTGATCACAGAAGGATGGGTAATTCAGTACAGCAGCCACTGGACATGCATTCTTCAATAAATGTCTCCTCCTCAGGGCGATGAAAATGTGAAGGCCCAAGACCCATTTGTCTGCTTTATGAATTAATTACCTCAATGTGCCCCTAGATCAGGGGTGAGCAAATACCAGCCTACAGGCCGGAGCCAGTGTTTGCTCCTGGCGAGCCCCCCACTGCTATATTTATTTGTACGGCCACAGGTACCAGTGATCGCTGCTCCCATTGGTCACAGATTGCCATTCCTGGCCAATGGGAGTTGCAGGAAGTGGTGTCCCAGTCCATGCTGCTTCCCACCCCATCTCCCAAGCAACGTGAGCCAGGGATTCAAAGTGGTGGCAGGATCCAGAGTGTCCAGGCAGCATACTAAATTACTCCCTGACATCCTTTCCTGGCCCACTGTGCCCCACTTCTCTGCAGTGGTGGGAAGCAGAACACAGAGCCAGGGCGCTCTGCTTCCCACTGCTGCAGTGAGGCCAAACACAGCAGGCTGGGAGTGGGCGGTGGGGGAGCAGAGTAGGCTGCCTGGTTGCTCCTCTCCAAAGCACAGGATCTGGGGTGACCACCCCAAATCATCCTATGCTCCTCATCCATAACACCATCTTCAATACTGTGCCAGGGGAAGAAATGCAAATGGGATGTTTCTACCCTGAAACATTTTCTGTAGCTGCAAGGAAAGGGAAAAATCGACTGTGATTTGGATGGATGTAACAGCTCCCAGCAAATCAAAGGTGTTTTTAGAGGTTCAGTGAGAGAAAATTGGGCCATGATTGTCCACTAAGAGGGAAGTGTCACTGGTTAGAGAACCCACAAAGATGCTCTGCCTAGACAGTTGGTGTAAGAGGCGAATTAAGCAGTCAGCGTGATATTCACAATGTGCAGACCTCTTTTGTAGTTTGTAAAATATAAAACAAGTGCCTATATATGATGCTACCCCAAATAAGCACATTTTGCCTTTTATCGCCTCAGATGAAAAAAAAAAATCCCTCATACTCATTAAGCTCATCCTTCTGAAATATGTGGAATCTTCATGTTCTCAGTAATACATCTCATTTTCTTACACAAAAGAAAACCAAGTCTGACAGGCTTTCTGTAATTCTGAACTGTACATGCCGCATGTATATTATAACCCCAAAATGATAAGCATCTACCTCAAACCCTAGAATTTAGTCACTTTATTATCATCATAAATTATTAGGAAGAAAAGTATAATTTACAATTTGTAAATTTATCCTAGTCTATCCGTTAATAATACACTTTACAGTTTGTGTCTGAATTTTAGAAAATACATGTACAGTAATCAAAATTCAAGAAGCATCTGGCATGCTATCTAGGCTTCCTCAGTTCTTCTGACAGTTTTGCTATTGCTTTAATTTTGGTACTACTTTTCTCCATTACAATGTTTTTATAAGGTAATTTATACAAATCTTTTGTAAGATTAGAGATAAAAAAAATTCCATTTAACTGTCCAGTGCATCTTATATGAGTTCTACAGTGATACACAATTTTTAGCAACAAATTTCATATTCATGTCCAGATGTTAGAATAAAGTAAGACATCCACAATTCCTAGTAAACGTTTCCCATACAGACCTACTTTTATTTTTGCCCCATGGGATTATAACACTATGGTAGTATAAATGCTAATAAAAGGAATCTTTTCTAATTTAGCCTGGTATTTATTGCCTTTTCTTAATATTAGTTTTTTTCATATTTGATGTTACTTTAAGAATTAATATCCAATTCCACTTCCAGCTAAAAAAGATAAATGTTTCATCTTAGTTCATCCAAAGCATACCTCCATTTCATGCTTCTCATCTTTGATTCCTTTGAATTGCTATGGTGTCAACTATGAGAAGTAGCAAGACATGTCGCGCTGAAGCAGGATTCCCTAAAGCTGATTCCTGCCAACGTCAGTCAGTGTCCACTGTACTCTGTATGTTTATGCCAGCTCAACAATGCTGCTGTAATCTGTGCCAGCTTTACAGAACTTCATTCAGCTGCAGCAAATGCTTCATACCACTCTCTCTCTGATAATCCTTTAAAAAAAAAAAAATACTGTTACTTTCCTTCTTGCCACCTTTCCCTATTCCAGAAACGGACAAACCAGTAGATCAGTGGGCTTCCAAACTAAAGATTGTACTGAAGGGTCAATTGATGCTGCAATATGATACATCTTTTAAGTTGGTCTTGCAAACTTTACTCCATAGCTGATCCAATTTTGCAAGATGCTGAGTCCCCACAAGTTGTTAGTGTAAGTAGACATTGAGGGTTCTCAAAGTTCTTTCTGGATCACATCCTATATCACCACTTCCTTCTTTGCCAGCACCAACAACTCCCACCAAAGCATGAGTTCACCCTGCAGGACAGACAGCACATCAGAAGCAAATCTTGCTTATTGAACTCATGAAAATACTCCCCATGAAATAAACAAGATTTATGTGAGTAATTGATCCATACTTAAAAAAAACAAAAAAAACAAAAAAAAAACAAACACAAAAATATTTTGTTCTTCTTTTGGCAGTTTGGAGGTGACCTGAAGAAAAGAAATTTAGCTGTGGCCTTTTTTGGTTTCTTTGGATTCCCTGTATAGCATAAAAACATCTGAAAGGTTATCTTTTTTTAAAAAAATTGGTTTTTACTTGTTTTGCCAGATGCATCCCTTAGAGAATCCAGAGATAAGCAGAATAGTGATAGAAATGTAGCCGTGTTAGTCTGGGGTAGTTGAAGCAAAATGCATGACAATGTAGCACTTTAAAGACTAACAAGATGGTTTATTAGATGATGAGCTTTCGTGGGCCAGACCCACTTCCTCAGATCAAATAGTGGAAGAAAGTAGTCACAACCATATATACCAAAGGATACAATTAAAAAAAAGAACAAATATGAAAAGGACAAATCACATTGCAGAACAGAAGGAGGAGGCGGGGGGGTGGGAAGGGGGAGGAAGGAAGGTAAGTGTCTGTGAATTGATGATATTAGAGGTAGGGAGAGTGGGATAGATAAGCAATGTGACTCACCATTCTTAAGTGAAGGAACAGAGTTGGATCTCTAACACAAAAGCTTTTCTTCCAAATGTTTGCTAGATATTTAAGTAACTGTCTTCTTTTTTAAAAAAAATGTTTAAATGGTGTGAATAAAAATCACTTCCTCTCAAATTATTCAGTTTTCATTTTTCTGGTGTATATAAGGTTACTACTTTCTTCGCTAGTCATTCATGGATACTTTCAGCAAAAATTCAATGCATAACCAAATTTCTAGAATTAAAAATTAACAAAAAAGTTTGTGTTCTTTTAAAATCATTTCTCTCAGGCCTTCTTCCCATTTGTTTCTTCTTTGGGTCAATATAAAGAAAAGACCATTTGTTTAAGAAAAATTCTACTTCTTATATAATATTTTATCAAAGTATCTTTATAAAATGTATTTTACAAATCCTAAATAACTTTAAAATTTACTAATTAAAAAATCTTTTACTAAGCACTGTAAAACCTTAAGTACTTTGACACAAACTGCCCAAAAAGTAATTGTCAAATTCATAATTAATTGCTTAAAAACATAATAACCTTTATTGAAACAACTAACAAAGAAAAATTAATTTTCTGTTGTGGTTGGAGTTTCTGATATTGTAACCTATAAACAACTAAGGGTGCATATACACTAAGAAAATTAGTACCCATATTATGGCAGCTATGGACAATTTGTGAGTTAAGCAAGTGAAGCAAACAGGATTAAGTGCTGAAGCTTAGCACAGGTTTACATAACACAATGGTAAAAATGCCTATATCATACCTATTCTGGCACTTTGGCACTGTAGCTGCTGTAATCTGGGCACTAATTCTAGGATAAGTAAGGCTATATGGTCAATTGCAACCTCTAAACTGACTTCTGTTAAGATTATTTCTGTAATGTTTTAGTTGCTGAAAGCAAGGCTGGGTCTAAAGCAGAGGTAGGCAAACTATGGCCTGTGAACCACATCCAGACCATCAGGGCTTCTAATCTGGCCTTTAGGATTACCATTCGGCGTCTTAGTGGGGCTAAGGCAAGCTTAATGCCAGTCCCAGAAGTGGCCAGCATATGTCTCCAGCCTGGAGGGTGGTAGGGTAGCGGACTGAGTGTTGTCTCACCAGCTGGGGCCTGGCACCATCCCCACAGCTCTGATTGGCCAGGAACTGGAAACTTCAGCCAACAGAAGCTGCAGGGAGGAGGGGGACGATGCCTGTAGGCAAGGGCAGTACACAGAGCTGGCTGACCCCTCGACCCACCCACAAAAGCCAATGCCAGACATGCCAGCCACTTCCGGGAGTGGCATAGTCCACTGTGCTGCCAACTGGGAACCACCTGAGATAAGCCGGCCCCAAGCAGAGCCCACACCCCAAAATCTCCCACACCCCAACCCCAAATTCCTTCCATCACCCCTGTGCCTCAACCCTCCGCCTTAAGCCCCCTCCCACACTTCAACCCCTGCCCTGAGCCCACCATACAAGTTTCCCTAACCAGATGTGGCCTTCAGGGCTAACAGTAGACCCACACCTGGAGTAAAGGCTTGCCTACAATTAAGATACTGCATTTGTACTGCTCTTGTGCTTCAGAAAAGACACTATTTACACCAGGAATCAGCAACCTTCAGCATGTAACCCATCAGGGTAGTCTGCTCATAGGGCACGAGACATTTTATTTTTGTTGACAATCCACAGGTATGGTTCCTGGCCATTGAGAACGGTGAGCTGCCATGCCTGAGGACGGTCAACAAACAAAATGTCTCACCACCCACCAGTGGACTACCCTGATGGGCCATATGCCGAAGATTGCTGACTCCCATCTACATCAATCATAGAATCCCTCCCTTCAACATAGACACTCCACCTCCATGAGGGATGATAGCTGGGCCAATAGGAAAATATGCCAAGTGTCTAGTGCCTGGTCTATGCTAGGACATTATATTGCTCAGGGATTTAAAAAATTCACACTGCCTCTTGGGTAGGGCTTTCTATTTGCAGAAGAACAAAACCCTTGCCCAACTCCCTGCCCTGCCCATTCCTCAAGGCCCCTCCCTTTCTCCAAGACCTCATCGCCAGCCACTCCTTTCCCCTTCTCTCTGTGGCAGAGTCCCGGCAGCACTCACCTTAGGTGGCTCCCAGAAGCAGCAACATTTCCCTCTGCCCCTACCTGCATGGTTCCTGGCCACTGAGAGCTGTGGAGTTGGCCCTCACAGTAGGGGAAGCACGCTGAGCCCCCGTGGCTTCCCCTATGCCTAGAAGCCAGTGGGAAATGTTGGCAGCTTTCCAGGAGCTGCACCCTGCCTTTCCTACTGCTGGCAGCCAACCAGACTTTTAAGGGCCCAGTCAGCAGTGCTGAGAGGTGGGTGCAGCTTTTCAGTGCAGATGAGCACTAGGTGTATCTCATTCAATGCACTAAATGCCCCAACAACTATGTGGATGAAACCAGTTACTGTGCTCTCAAATGAACTCACACAGGAAACCAACAAAAGGCACCATATCACTTGTGCCTGAAAGCTTTTCAAAAAGTGATCACTATATGCCTGACACCTTAGTCCTCATCCTGAAAAGAAATCTGTTCTATATCTTCAAAGGACTAGCCTGAGATCTTAAAATCCTAACTTTGGTAGATACTAAAATTCATGGACTGAATAGGAACACTGGATTTATATCTTATTAGAACAATCTATAATCTACTAACTACCTCCCTACCTGCCTTCCCCCCCCCCCCTTCCTTTCTCCATTTATGACTGAAGATGTATTTATGGACTATTTCACCTTCCATGGGCCTTTGAAATGTTTGTTAACTACTTATGCTAAATAATATGTTCAACCTTTTATTTAGATGAGGCACTATGTTTTCCCAGACCTGAAAAAGAGATCTTGTAAGCTCGCTCATCAACACAATATGATCCAATTAAAGATATGACCTCATCCACCTGGTCCCTCTAAGGGTCTAACTGCACAAGTTCCAGTGCTGTTACCAGTATTAATTTTATCATTCCCTCCCACTATCAGCATAACTTTCCAAAGTCAAATATTCCAAAACCTCAAGGCAATTTAACTGATGGGCAAATCAATTTGATCTCATGTCTTGAATTTTTAAGTATTCTAGTGTAGGGTTGTTAAATATCAATTAATTGAATAGTCTATTTACCTCATTAATTCTTATTGGTTATTCGACTATTCTATAGTACCTCAGGGTGGGGCTGGCAGCCAGCATGCTCTTGCCCCTCTCCCAAGAAGCACCCTGCCACTCCACGCTGCTGCCTCTGTATCAGAGGCAGCAGCACAGGGTGCCAGGTGGGTGCTGGTCGGTGAGGAGAGTCAATTTTAAAAACCAACTCTGCTCATGGATCGGCTGCCTGTTGCTTCAAGCTGCTGCCTCACGAGGCAGCAACACAAGGTGGCAGGAACCACTGTTGGGGATGGGTAGGGGTGCTGACCTCCTGGACCCAGTGTGATCTGGAACACAGCTGGACTGCTTGCCCTGCGCCGCGCCCCCCCCTCCCCCCGGCTCCTAATACACTTTAAATGTAGAGCTGCAGTGGAGGTAGGTCTTGGACCCGACATGAGCCAGGACTAAGTCGGGCTGCTGGCTAGCCTCCTAAAAAAAGGGCGGGGAATGCATGTAGTATATAGCATTAACTTATAAACTTTTGCTTATTGGTTAATCAACTACACTATTATATCCTTATTGTAGTGCTCAGTAGAGTGAGGGTCACATCAGAATGCAAGAAATCCAGATTTGTCCCAGACTCAGCTGCACCAAAACTGAGATACAACTAAGCCATAAACTCATTTTTAAACTGGTAGGGGCTAGAGGAGAAAGGAAAGGCTATTCAGGTTACAGGTAAAGGAATGAGAAGCGGAAAGTTAAGGTGGAGTTTTGAAGGCCAGAGAGCAATGGTCAGAGAAGAAGGAAGGATATTTGCATGTAACAAATCAGCAGCCTTCTCCTTCCCCCTCTTCCCAGAACAAATGTTGAAATTCATCACCATTCTGCAGCCTCTATAGACAAGTGGCACACC